TACCGAAAATTTGTCAAACAAAGTATACATGAGGGAATAGGGGGAAAACTGAGCAATATCACATGAAGTGGTGCGTCGTGAGCGTCCTTGGCGGATAGCCAGTACTGCTAGCATAATTTGTTCCGTATTGATTTTGGTCGAAACGTTTGTCTTGATTGTATGCCATGATTGCCTCCATCGTTTTCTCCACTCCAAAATGCCCCACTGCGTCGTGACACTCCTTCAAACATTCCTCTCGCACTCCTTCACTCTCCGGAACACAAATTCTCTCTTCCCACTTCATCAACTCGACCGTCTTCCCTTTTTTTCCAACCACCGTAACCATCTTAACCCCTGGAGGACGCTCCTCTTCCTCCAACCACCGTCCCATGATGCCGTCTTCCTTGTATCCTTTTGCCAGACGCTCCAGAAAATCGTGATTGACAGTGGTAGTAATGAGGGAGAGAGCGTTGAGTGATTCCGTGTCCGAGTGTAGGCGGGAAAGAGCATCGGCAATGACGTTGGTAGCGCCAGGAATGTGGGAGATGCGGAGGTCGTATTCAGCAAAGACAAGCAACCATCGTTTTTGTCTCTCAGATAAGTTTGGCTGCTCGAAAAACCACTGGAGAGTTGTGTGATCGGTGAGAACATGAATGGGAAGACCCAAAAGAAGGGGGCGCCATTGCTTGAGAGCATGCACAATGGCGAGCAATTCTTTCTCGTGAACCGGATAATTCTTCTCTGCTGGTAGGAGAGCACGAGAGTCATAGGCGATGGGAGCCGCGTCCTCTGCTTTTGGACCGCTGCCTAACCAGGCTCCTATTCCTGTATTGCTAGCGTCGGTGTGGAGATATAGATTGGTCTCTCCCGCCGCGATAGCTTTGAAGTCAAGGGGAGTAAGGCTGGTGATATGGGCCACAAGATCCTTGAGGGTGACGAAGGCGCGATGGGCCTGGGGAGTCCATTCCCAAACCCAAGGCAAGACAGGGAGAGAATGGGGAGGTTTCCCATGCGCAAGAAGACGTTTTCGAACGTCATAGGCCTTCTCCGCAGCTTTGTTGGGGGGGAGGAGGCCTGATAGCACCAAGGAATGAGTAGCAATATCAGGGATAAATTTCCAAAGATATTGGAGCAAACCTAGGAAGCTTCGCAGCTCTTTGACAGTATGGGGGTTTGGCCATGAGTGCAGAGCAGAGACCTTCTTGGGATCAGGACCAATAGAGTTGTTGGAAATGACATGACCCAAGAAGGTGACTGAGTCGGCGAAAAACACCGATTTCTCCTGAGAGCAACGCAACCCGCTCTTCCTTAACGCCTCCAGAACCTCCCGAATCCTCCTTTCCAACTCTTTATCATTGTCCGCCCACACTATTACATTGTCCACGTACGCCTCACATGTCTCTCCGATCAATCCCCTCAGCGCTTCGTTGACTCGCCGTTGTTGAGTGGCAGGGGAGTTGCGAGCACCCTGTGGCATGACTACCCATTCATACAACCCCCATGGCGTAGTGATAGCGGTCTTCTCGATGTCTTTCTCTTCCATCAACGTCTGGAAGAACGCATCGGTCATGTCCATCTTGGTGAACACCTTGCCCAGGGCGGCGCGTTGAAGGATATCCTCAATAAAAGGGGGGGAGGTTTGATTGGGTATGGTGACTAAGTTCAACCCACGGTAGTCACAGATGAACCGGAATTTCCCATTGGTCTTTTTGATGAGAAAGGCAGGTGCAGCCCAGGGAGAATTGGAAGGTCGAAGACAGCCAGCACGGCAATGTTTTTCGATCTCAGCAAAGAACGCCTCTTTCCAGGCAAGAGGGACGCGAAAACCAGGACGAGCAACTGGCTTCACACCGGGGAGGATGTCGATACGATGGCGTACCTTGGATGTGTCAGAATAGACAGCCGGGTAATTCTCCACGTTCCCTATGTCGCTGGGGAGGACGTCGGCAAAATCAGTATGAATAGATGCTATGCGCTGTTGGCGTTGAGGAGAGATAAAAACAGTAGGGTGAAGGGTGGGATCATCAACAGCGAGAGAGCAGATGTTGGAAAACTGGGGATTGGCATGGACAGAGCGACCTTTGGCCATGAGTTTGTCAAGCCGAGCAGCACCCTCCAGTAAGCGGTGGTGGAGGCAGAAGGGGAGGCCAAAGATGATGTCGACACAATGAGGGGTAGGAAGAATGAGAAATGAAGAATTCTTGTAACAAGTTGGACCAATAAAAACATCCATCCTGACTCTGGTATCAACAAGTGGTCCAGGTCTGCCATCCGCCATACAGGTCTTCAACGGCTTGACGTTCTCCTTCCGCAACCCAGCCGCCTGCACGAAACTCTCACTAACAGCATTGATAGCCGCACCAGGATCAATGAGACCTGTGGTGATAGGAGAGTCAGCCGAAAGACCAACGTCGACAAGGATGAGGGGGACTGACGAAGTGTTGGTGTAGTCAATATCATGTTCAACCTTGGCAGCAAACACATCACCATCCTCGTCGAGGTCATCAATAGAGAGGTTGGCGACAGTGGCGGCCGCTGCACGAGCAGAACACTCGTGGCTTTGATGACCCGGCTTACGGCACCAGTAGCAGAGGTCGTTCCGGTCGAGGAAAGCCCGGGCACGAGCGCCAGCATCGGTAGACTTGTCTGGGAGTTTCTTCTCGTTGATCCATTGGGTTTCTTCCGCCGTCAGAGAACGGCCATTAAGCTGAGCAGGCGGAGCGGGAGGAAGGGTTGGGGACATGCGATGGCGCCGAGGAACGAGAGGTTGCGGCGGTGGACTGACGGAACTGCCGAGTATAGGTGGCAGGGGGAGGGGCTGGGAGTTCCGTGGTTTGGAAGATGCGATCAATAATGTCACGCAGGAGGGGAAGAGAGGTTTCCGAACGACTAAGTCCTTGATCAGCAAGACGATTCTCAACTCGAGTAATGATGTTGGAGGGGAGACCAAACAGAAGCTTTCGGCGCATGTTGGAATTGGTGATGCCACCAAGACAGTCGCCAAGAATCATCTGACACTTTCCAGCCTTCTTCTCGAACGTTTGCCAGGCCGACAAAGTCGATCCCTGGCACTGGAGCCCTTCAAACACTCGTTGAGTCTCAGACTCCCAATTGGTCGAGAGAGCCTGCTTCTTGAACTCCTCACGCCAAACTTCCCACGAAACGCAGGCAGCACCAGTGACCATAGACCAATAATGGTACTCGTCTACCTTGGCGATGGACTTATTCGCTCGAGCAACCCGCCATTGAGAAGCGGACGGCGTGCCATCTGGAGAGCAAGAGTCGTATTCAACGAAATAGCGCTGAAGGTCGTGGAGATGTCGAACGACGCCAAGCTGGGACGCACATGAGGATGACAGCATGGGGAGTTTAGGAGGGTCTACTTGGACACGTTGGAGCTCAGCTTGGTTGCGGTGCATTTCGTTGATAATGATGCGGAGGTCGTCATACCCAATGCTCTGACTGGACGTCTGACCGTCGGAAGCTGGGGCTTTGGGGGTAGCACCGGACAGCAGGTGAGGAGGGTTGTCATAGGCAATGCGCGTACTATCGGCTGCGTGAAGAGGGGTAGTGACGGCAACAGCGGGAGGACGGGGACCAAGAATCATTGTGCCGTCCTTGCCAAATCTAACACAATGGGGCGGCCAGCGACGTCGGCAGTGGTGATAGCGTGTCCATCCTCGTTTAAAAAGACAGAGTGAGGCTTGGAGGGGGATGTGCCCTCGGCGTTCTTCGTGCCATCGGCGTTCTTCGGTTTGTTGGGTTTGTTTTTGTTCATCGTGATGGGTATGGGGTGTGAAGTTTTAAAAAAAGTGTAAGCAGCGTGTGTGCTGCTTCACTGACAGCAGGGAGCGGCAAGGCGAACGGCGATGGTCTCAGCTATGAGGAGCTGGACTGGAGAACGGCGAGAGAACGGCAAGGAACGGCGGGGATTGGGTGGGGCGGCGTAACCTGTAAACAGGACCCCAATGCATATACTTGTCACACAGACAGACAAAAAGGCGGTGACTCTGGGCAGAGATCAGTCCTAACTCTAACGACCTGCCCAGGATTTAGCTATGCACTAATAAACAAAGAAGAAGGGAACTCACACACACACACAGACGCCTAAGCTTTACAGCAATAGGACCAAAGACGGGGACAACGACGGGCAAGAAAGAGAGGCCACATCGTCGTTCCACCAAGTCCTTGTCTGCGCGTGCGGCGAGCTCCGCAAAACTCCAACGCTGACGCGGTGTTGCACATTACGTACACACCAATGGAAGCGCTTCTAATTTGTCTAAGTTCTTTCTGCTCTTTGTCCCACAGCTTTATCAGGCCGCCTCCTGCATGCATGCATACAGGAGCACTTCTCATTTGCTGAGTCCAAGCACTCAAACGCAACAGGCTGCCTTCCGCTAATGCTTACTCACATGCAGTCCAACAGTCAAGGCAGAGAATCGCAGCCAAAAGGGGTTGACAGGTCGTATGTTCAGGAAGGGTATGAGGCAAGCCTCTTACATTCCGCTAATGCTTGCCATTGACCCCCCTGGGCCTCCTCCGCACACACCTCCATGCTACTGCCCACCTCCCACCCCAGGCCCCTCTTTTCTCCTGCAATCCCTCCGCCCCATCCTCGTTCTTCCCCAGACTGTGGTTCGCTCAACAGCTCTGTGTGGCTCTGGCGGCCGCAGGATCCCCACCCTCCACCTTCTCCAGTCACTCTTTTAGGCAGGGCTTGGCCACCTGGGCAAAACTATCTTCTAAACTTGGGTACAATGACATTTGTCTCTTGGGCTGCTGGTTGTCTGATGCCGTCTGCCTCTACCAAGAAGCCACTCCAACCCATGTTGCTGACACCGCCCATGCAACCCTCATCATTCATGACCCTATCCCCCCATTGCCGCTTGGTGGTCTCTTTCTTTTGTTGCCTTTCATTTCTTCTCAGCCCTTTTCTGTGTTGGCTGGGAATTAACAATCTCGGCTTGGTATTCCTGTGCTGCTTACCGGCCAGAAGTTTCACACAAAGGAGAAAGAGACAACTAGCGAGATCGCTGGAGAGACACAGGGCCAGAAGGGGTCTCACCAGACAAGCAAGGGAATGTCGGACCAGCATTGATGCCAGATGCCAATCGGCCATCTGGAATGTAGCGCACGGCATCGAAATGGTCAAATGGTACTGCCAGCAACTTCTTGTAGACAAGATTGGCCTGTAAAGAAGTCAGTAGTAATAATCATACTATTGATAGAGTGCACACCAGCCACCCTTGCTACTACTCACCTTGATCTTCTCCTCCCATTCCTCTTTGGACAACTGGAGCATCCCATCATAGAAGTTGCGTCCAGATTTGCTCCGGGCATCAGTGATGGGCTGGTACCAATCTTTTGTAGGATGGTACCATCTGTTCTTCCAGTAGCTGGGGGTCTCAATCCTCATGTAGATGTTGGACAGCCTGCTTGTAAGCAGTGAACTGCTTTCCACAACTTTGCCATTCCTAGCCGTGCTTCAGCAATCGCCGCCTTTCGCGACTTAGCCATTTTCAGCCGTGTTTTGGCCATTGCCGCTTTCTGCGACTTGCCCTTTCCTGGTTGTGTCTTGGCTATCGCCGACGCTCACAACGCCACTTTCCCTATCACCGCTTCCCCGCCTCTTTCTCGCCACTCTCACTACCACCGCTTTTCCTTTCATCTGTTCCTGTTCTGCCTCCCTGCCACATTCGGTGTTTCGGTGTATTGTCTTGTGTGTTTTGTTGCACGACTGTTCTTGCATCAGGGACAGAGGACTTGGGCATGTGGAATCTTGGATCTTTATCCATCTCTTTTCTCCACTTGCCCTTTCATCCCATCTGTCCCTGTGCATATCCCTTCTGCTTCCTGTGTTTGCCTTGGCTAATCCTGGCCAGTGTCCTTCTTTCTCTTTGGCTTGCTTTGTGTATATATATTAACAGACATTGTCCAGATTATACATGCAAAGGGGTCTTGATCACTTCTAGACAACGCCACTCAACCAACCCAGTGAGAGACCGTACACCCGGTCCTTACACTGCTGTCCTGCTTGGCCCTCCCAAAAATCTCTGTCCAAACCAGCTCCATTTGGTGTTAGGCTTTTGTTTCTTGAGCTTTTGCTTGTCCATCCACCTATTGGCCTCAACATTGCTTGGGGTGAGCGATGTCAAGGTTCCCTGCTCAAAAGCACTGGTACATCAAGTCAGCCCATCTTTTGAGACTTCAATAGACAAAATAAGAAACAACTGCAATCCACTCACATTTGCATGTAGACGGTCGTCTACTGCTGTTTTTGTTGCATTTTTGCTTCCGTGTGGACAATTACATAACTTTGAATGGTCAAAAGCATGTCAAAAGCATGCATTCAAGCATGCATTCTGTTCGTCTACGGTTAGAGCAACGGTGAAGAGGGTTACATAGAGTTTGTAGCCCTCATCAGTTCTATGTAATGGGCTGTACATAAGACTAGGAGGGTTAGTGGGGGTTAGCGGGGGGTTAGGGGGGTCAGCAGGTGTTATTGGAGATGGAACTCTACGTTGCACAAAGCAGAATAATAGACGGAAGCAAAAATGCAACAAAAACAGCAGTAGAGCACTGGAGAGTACATTCGCAGAGAGGAGAGGTTTCCAACTAAAACTTGTCATTTAACCAGTGCTCCTCCAGAGTAGCCTTCATTGCAGGCTTTTCACATTCCTTGCATGCACATTTGCACTCTGGGAGGGCGGAGCAGGGGTGGCCAGCTTATCAGTAGGTTGTGGTGAGGTCATCATTGAAGTCTGGTAGAAGTATGAAATGTGGAGTGACAGGGAAATGCATCTTCAATGTTATCAGATTGCCCTGCTAAAACCATCTGAGTGGTTTTAGTGACTCTGATTGGTGCCAATGCAACCCATTTTAGGGTCTCAAACTCCAACAGCAGTACCAATGGAGCCCACTTTCACTTTAGTGTCATCACCTCAACACACTTGTGTTGGATATTGCTGCCATCAAAATTGGTGAGTGACATTATATGGAAATCCACTCAAATGGGTCAGTACTGATACCCCTGTGTTTGCATATGTTGGTATTTGGACTTGTTGACTTGCGCCCCAGGACCTGACCACTGGATCCTTACAGAAAATCTTGGCGCCTCCAAATTGCTCTTGCATCTTGAAGAATGGGACCCTATCAAGTGAGGACTGCCTCCATTGCCCAATGTGTTCAATTGATAACTGGATTGTGCTTGGTGAGCCATGGAAGGCCAAGCACCACAGGGTAACTGCCAAGGTATGTAATGTCAAGGGAGATTTGCTCTTCATGACCTAGATGGCCAGTTCAAAAGGTGCGCTATAATGTGTCATAGCACCAGTTAGGATATGTAAGCAGGCGGAGAGGTGGCGTAACCTAGGACGGTTACATGGAGGATCTGACAAGGGGCACAAGATGTCGACCTTGAATAGGCTAGAAAGGTGAGAGGATGGATATATGTGATGAGGTTAGTACAAGAATACATTGGTAAGGAAAAGGATACAAAGACGCAGCACAATGCATGTACAGGAGCCTCCTCTCACCTCCGTGCCTATTTGTCCCTGAGAACATTTGTTACCACCATGCAAAGAGGTGTTGGGGATTGGCAAGCAAAGCAGCAAAGGCTGGGCAGGTAAGCATGGGAAGTGGCAGGCTCAAGAGAGTTGTAGGCGGGTCCTGAGAGTTGGTCCTGAATAAAAAGCGGTATATGTAAGCAAAGGTAATTGTCCATAACTGGTACTACACCAGGCAGTCCATGAAAAGCTCTTGAATCTACTTCATTCTCTTCAATGCATGCAAAGGGCAACCAAACTTGGAAGCTGGCCCCTTGTATGGTGCTGGCTCCCTTGACTCCCACAACTCCTCCTTGGATGCTAACACCCAACCCTTCCAGCCTTGCAAACACTTTTCCTTCTCAACCTTGTGTGTGATTGGTGGAGGAAGTTGTTGAATTGGTTTTTTTGAGTCTTGTCCGGGCAGGGCCTGACTGGAGTGTTGAGGGGAGTGGAACAGTCAGACTGGTCAAACATGCAACACACTTGGAGATTTGTTCAAGCCACTGGTTGACAATCTCCGTTTGCCCGTCAGTTTGGGGATGATATGAGGTGGAGAGGTGGTGGTTGATGCCAAGTAGCCTAGCCATGGTAAACCAGAACGACGCTGTGATTAAAGTGCCCCTATTGGCAGTGAGGGTGTTGGGCAGCCCAAATCTGCGGAACACATTGAGGGGGAAGAGGTGCGCAAACTCTTCCAACAAGACCGAAGGTCACGCCACCTTCTAATCGACTTCTTGCACGCGGTGGAGGCCTCGCTGTCATGTGCATCCTCTTCCCATCATCCACGCATGGACGTCCTCGTCATGCATCTTCCTTGTTCAACATCCTCATCATTTTAACATCCTCATCATCCTTAACATCCTCATCATCCTTATCTCTATTTTGGCCATTTCCATACATAGACACGTCCAGCTACATATTGCTCCTCCAGCATCTGGGCCACCGTTTACCAGCAACCACCTCTGTATCCGCCACCGCTGCCGACACTCTTCGCTGTCCGCTCAGCAGCAGAAGAGGCTATGTACCCCACTCTATTACGTCTTCACTCTCTCCGGCATGAATCATTCTTCTCAACCCCACATATCTGCTTCACGCTAGCTCATAGCATTCTTGCTATGCCCGCTGACTTTCTTCTTTGGCCGCTCGCAACTGCGCCCTCACCTTTGTCCTCTTCCATCTCATCATCATCGTCCTCCTCCCCACCATCTCCCAGCACACTGTTGTCTGTGGTTTTGGGCCACCTCTTGCTCTCAGAGTTGACGTGAAGCCGGAGGACATTGCCGTCGCTGTCTTCGACGGTCTCTGAGAAGAAGTGATGGATGAAGGTGTTCATATGATATTTCATGTAGGTCTGAGACAACAAGATGACAGTAGGTTGAAACAATTGTAAGTATACAAAACCGCATGATCACTCTCTCATCCTTGCTCACGTCCAGATCTTCCATCCTATTCTTCCTTTTCTTGCAATCCCCGCCACTTGTATTGGCCTCCTCGAGCCGCCTCAGCAGCTCCTCCCAGGCAGCCTCTCACACCTGCCGCATCCAACTTTCATCCTCGAGCTCCCCTACTTGGTCTTCAAGGTCGCTCACCAACGCCTCCAGACTGTTCTCCATTGCTCGAGCTTCCTCGGTGACATGCCTCAGATATGACGAGATGGTGGTGAGAACATCGGCTGTCTGAGGAGAGAGCAGGGCAGGACTGGTGGATGTGTCAGTCACGATCATATTGTGCACCCTTGTGAGACAATGAATCAACGATTTGAACGTGTAGGGAGTGGGGGGAGGAGGCAGTGGGAGATGTGATGATGCTGTTGCATTTGGGTTGGCAGATGCTGTAGGTGGTGGAATGAGGGCCTGGACGGCAGCGTAGATGCCGGCAAAAGACTCTCTGAAGCCATCCGGGCTTTCATTGGGCAAGGCAGGCAGAAGAAGGAGAGGTGGTGGGTTGTCCTGTCTAATCGACGCAAGGGAGCCGTTCCAAGTTAGTACCTGTGACAAACCCCATGAGTGAGTGTCGGCATCAAATTTGGGCTAGGCAGAAGCATGGAACTGACCATCATGAAGCTTTCTAGTCGAGCTGATGGAATAACAGAACGAGAGCCAGCTCTTTGGGAAGGTATCAATTGTATGGAGGATGACGGCAGAAGATGGAGGAAGAAGAGGGGGGAGGAAAGCGTCAGGATACCAGGCAGAGAAAGGGGAGGATATGGGGTGTTCTTTGGTGTCAAACGTCCATAAGTCAAAGCAGAAGGTCGCGCTTGAAGAGGCTCTCTGTATCTGTAAAGCGATCTCTAAGAATGCATGGAAGTGACCGCTGAAGAGTCTCTGTAGCCAAACTTTAGGGAATGCTTCAGCGCCGCTGCGGCGATACCGTCTTTAGGAATCTATTTGGTGCGTCTAACTCTGAAATTTGGAGGGTGGGAAAAGCGCGCCTAACCTCGAAATTTAGGTGTTGCTGCAGCAGCCCTTCGTCGGGATTTTAGTGATTGTTTTGGATGCCATAAGGCCAAATCTTAGGGGGGCCTTGCCCACAGTGATTGAAGCGAATTTCCAAGGTGAAAAGAGGTGGTGAGGGAAGCATTCAAGCGAACACTATCCAGATTGATGAGGGGTCAGTTGTTGTGACTATTCAGCTTGAAAGACAGGGAAGTTGCCTTGGAATCTGAAGGGAGAAAACTGCTGCGTCTGGAGGAAGCATCAAGTTTCCCCAAAAGCGTCCCCGGACGGTACACAATATTGCAATCAAACACGGACATGTACTCACTCCATCACATTTGACAACAAGTGAGTTGTTTGGAGGTGAAAAAGTGTTGCAGACTTGTGTGGTCTGTGATCACTGTCATGGGATGGAAGGCACCCTTTCCAGGAGA